AAACCTAAAAGTCTCTGAGTAAGAAAACCTGGGGAAATTTTTGCCAAATGGACAGATTATGAAATGACATAAAAGTGAGGCGAGGATGATATAAAATAAGAGAGCATGAGAAAGAGAGGATTCACCTGTGCTGTGACTTTTTTTCTTTCTTTTCTAACTAGTAAAGGAGACTTATCCAGCTGGTCAGGAGGGAAGAGAAATATCCAGGTGCCAAATCAGGACAGATGATGTCCTCCTTTAACATCTTTGATGAGAACAAGTCCATGGTCACAAGTAAAAGTTTATCGTAAATAGAAATGAATGGATCCTGTACACCCAAAGCTCTTGGTTGTGTCAGGCTGCTGCTCTTTGATACTTTAGACAAAAGTTTAGATAAAAACAATGTTTACTTGATCATATCTAAGATCTGTACCTGGCAAAAACCAGAGTCATGAGAAAGGTTTAAACCTATGAAAATGTTGGCAGAACTGAACATCATCAAAGCTGGACTGGTAACTGCAGGACTTTAATGTAGAATTTGACATAAATAACAATTTTTTTGTATTCTTATTATTAACAGTTCGTGGGGTTTCTTTTTCCCAAAAAATTGTTAAGTGCTAAAATTCAGGAAGAGCATTTTCCCTTTCATTTTCCTAGATCAGTGATAGCGAACCTTTTAGAGACTGAGTGCCAAACTGTAACCCAAAACCAACTTATTTATCACAAAGTGCCAACACTGTAATTAAACCTAAATACCTAGGTTTTAGTTTAGAAAAAATAACTATATTAATATCTTTTGTCTTAAAAGAAAAACACAGTAACACATGTGCCATAGGTTCGCCACCACTGTCCTAGATGGTTGGAGAGCAATCTAGGCCTATCCTTTGAGCATTTGCTTTTCAAATTCACCAAAGACAAACTTGACAAAGCAAGGAGACAGGTGCATCTTTTCAGCTTCATGGGCTCACACCTGAAGTTTCTCTTATCCCGCTCAATTAATGGGCCATTTCCAGCAAAATCTATGAAGGAACTCACCATGCTCTGAGCTTTCAAATGTAGTTGAACTTGCGCAGGGCTTGTAAAACAAGTCCCTCCCTCAGGACACCAGGCCTGTTCCACTTGCTAAATACTCATGTTTCCATAACTTCAGAACAATTTCCCAGCACTCTTGGCTGTTTATTGCCATGGGGTGCTATGAAGGACAGCAATGGGGTTAGGACCCCATGACATGTGGGCAGGACCACTCAAGACTACTGTTTTTCCCATCATGTAGGTTTCTCTTCATCTAGAAGGAAGAAATCTGCAATATCATTTCCTTAATATTAGCCCCAAAGAATCCCAATTCCATTCTAAGTGAAAAAGCTAAATGATTCTTGTGGGGTCTGACTGGTTCTGATTTGCTTAATTCCAACTAATTCATGCTACACTGAAGATACTGTGTGTATTTAAGTCATCTAAAAAGCTTTGCTATCAGGGACACTTAAAGAACCCTCAGGTGCTCCACAGCTGGGACATGTACCCCCTCAGCCAGAACTATGGGTTGTCAAGATTAGCGGGATTTAGCTCAGTGGTGCTGGCGCCTGCCTCACAAGCACAAGGTCCTGAGTTCGATCCCAGGTACCAAAAAAGAAAAATTAACAGGGTTTTCACTATATTTGTTGAGATCTATTGATTGCTGTAACACTTTTCATAATCAAATTATGGGCGGGGGGTGGGGCTCACAAATAATAATGAGTAGATGGCAAATGTGAAGGTTGCTGTAAGGTTACAATTAGGACTCTTCCAACATGAATTTCTTTGTTGACTCTTTTACCCCAACTCCTCTAATATCTCCTAGCCTGTTACCATGGGTCTAGCAAAGAATAGAGATTTCCAAAAACAAAACTAGTGAACTCTTTCTTTGATTTAATTTGTGACACAGGCAAGTTGAAACTGTATTACTCCAAATGGTCTAATACCCAAAGACACACTGCTCAGTGAGGTCACCAGGAATTTCTGAATTCACTGTTTGAGCCTCCTGCATGCCTCCCTTCCAGTTTACTCACTATTCATTCGTACACTCACTTCCCCAACCCTACTCACCAAGTTGCATATTTCTATGTCTCAGGCACTCAATTTCAACTACTAAACTATACACATCCCTTCCCATCAAAATAATTGCAATCAGACAAACCATGAGATCATCACATGTCTGGGTAAATGTTACAAAGAAGCCTAATAAGATAAAATGATGAAGAATCTGTAAAAAGAAGGTGCACAAGAAAGATCTCTCTGAAGGGGCCTTTCCACAAAGATCTACAGGATGAAAAAGATTAAAGTATAAAAGAATAGGAGGAAGAGCATACCAGGCAGAGTGAACAGAATTTGGGATAGCTCAGAGGTTGGAGGTAGCTTGGATAGGCTCAGGAGGGAGGAAGGAGGGAGGTCAGTGGAAATACTGAACAGTGAATCAGGGGAAAACAGATGCTGACAAGGCTGCCCAGAGAGCTTTATGGACAAGGTAGGGTAAAGAGTATTCTAAGTGCAACAGGAAGCTGCCAAAGGTATCTAGGTAGAAAAACATGATTAGATTTATACCAAATGATGTGTGGAAAATAGACTGAACCAGAGTAGAGGTGGAGAGGGAGGCACTATGAGTGGCTGAGATGCAAAAGTTTTCCCAGAAGCCATTCTCCTCTCTTTCTTGACTATGAGGACTTCTGTTTTATTTTGGAGAGCAAGGGCTGCAGCAACAGTCTAGGAAAAGCTAATAGCACCACAGAAACCTCAGCTTGTATACCTTTAAACCACTGGAGAGAAGTGGTTGAACAAGAAGACCCTTTTTGAGGTAGAAATAACAGGACTTTCCAAGGGTCTTGGTGTGGGGCTTGGTGGTAAGAGACAGAGGGTATAAAAACTACTTAAATATTTTGCCTTATAATTTATAAAAATGGGAGGAAAAACAGGTTTGAAAAATAAGAGCAAAATTTGATATTCATTATGTTAAAGTTGAGGTACCTAAAAGGCATCTATGACAATGATCTCCCACTCCTGTGGCTTCTGAGAGATGGGTTCCTGGTCCTCCTCTGGCCCTTCACTGATTTCTTCTCAGAATAGCACATCTGTTCTGGGCTGTTCCCTCCAGGGGTCCAGGTGGAGGCTCTGGGGACTCAGCTTGTGTCCTCAGTGCTGCCTGGGGCTTGATGCTCAGCCTGAGGCTCATCCTCAGTAAGCCCGATATCACTGCACACATCTCAACCCCATTTTCCAGTGGGATTTACTGGTAATTAAAAGCTGATATTTGGGTCCCTCTATGCTACATTTTCTTGTATCTTGGTTGTTTCAAATATGGGCTGATTTATATCCATATAATGACAGAAAGCATGTCACATTCTTTCTTCCACATCATAGGAATCCATTTTAATTTGTGTTTCTTTCATTAGTTATTGCCCAAAAAAATGCTCCCCTGCTCTAACCTGTGGCTGCTCTCCTATCTTCACTGTGACAGCCAAGGATTGAGTCTTCCCTGCCAGATGGGACTGTAACTGCATGGGAATGAGAACTTTAAAACTGGTGTGAGCAAAAGATAAATATACAGTAAACATTCTACTCCTTAGGCATACAGTGACTTGCCATAATTTTGTAGGACTTGTATAATTGCAATTGTTTTGCCTTGCCCTCTCACCACTTCTGTCCTTCTAATCTATCCTCACATTTCCTCTGGCCACTTAACCATTATTTTTTCCCCTCTTTAAAAGCCAATGTTAATATTAGTTTTCTTTATTGTCTCCCTAATAACCTTTAATTTTAGAATTTCTGAACATATACAGATGGATAAAGGCCCATTTCTCAAGGCTGTGAATCTAGGGAAGTGGTCTGACATCTAACTGTATGAGATAGAGGAGTTCTATTTCTCCTTTTCCTTTTTTTTTCAAAGACCGATTGGTCTCATGCTGAATATTTGGACACTATCAGAGTTTATGTCTGGAAATTTATTAGATGATATTCTAGGCTTTTGCAAAACCTGTCCTGACAACAAAGTTATATGCAATACTTTTACATTTAAAATACTGGTTTTCCATGTCCCTCTATATTCCATCCTAATGGATATATTATTGCTTGAGTTCACACTGATGAAAGAAGTGATAGTCATTTTGGGATATTATATTCCTGTAAATAATATTTATGCTCAGAATGAATATGTAAACTGCAACTGTCTCTATAGCATGTGGGTCCCTACAACTGGTACAGAGTAGAGCGTGACCTTGTTACAGTGTCATTTGGTGGCATTAACCAAGTGAAAGAACATCGGCAGCTGTGACGTATTATGCTGCTCTGATGTTCACTGCAGACACAGATAAGAGTGCCCATAGGGAAACCCAACATCCTTTCTTTGAATAGAGCCCTGGGTAATTACCTAGACTATTGTTTTATGAGAAAGCTCCATTTATGCCCCTTCATCAGTTTAGGATCTTGACGTGAAAAATCACTGATATTAAGTAGTTAAGGCAATTTGTTTTCCAAATGAAGAAAGGACAAAAATCTCTATTCTTGAGTCACTCATGTGGACAGCCAAAGCTCACCTCCAATAAAGAATCCTGAGGAGTTGTTTTTCTGACTGACATTACCTTCTTCCTACACAGAGCCCCAAGGGAAACATGTCCAGGGTCTGCTTTCTACTGTCAGCTCTAGGAGGATATGCAACCTGCAGGTGGAGGGTGGCCAGCCGGCAGGTGCGGTGTGACCTGTGGTGGGGCCTCCAAGCTCAGGTGCATCAGGCTACCTGGCCCTTTGGGCTGGCCATGGTATTCTGAGGAAAAGCTACAGAAACATTGCTCACCTTGAGAAGTAAGCTCTCAGGGCAGGGTCCGTGTTCCTCCAGGGTGCCACAGAACATGAAATAGGTTATGAGGTTTGCCATTCAATATGGAGTAAAATGGGCGATTATTGAACTACTTACCCCCAAATGAAAGTATAAAATGAATTCAAAAGAAAAAGACAAAAATCACAACAAAAGAAATGGCCCCTGAATTTTTACTTACATTGAGTGAGGATTCCAGTTAAGGCATTTTTAAAATTCTCCTTGGCTTCCTCCATTTCTTGCTCATGGGTGGCTTTTTCATTCATTAGCCTGCGGACGTGGCTGTTGGCTGACTGCACCATGGAATAGAACTGGTTTGCAGAACGCCGATTCACTTCCCCTCGTTCAATCCAGGAAAGCAGCACTGTGATTGCCTCAGAAAACTTGCTATCATCTAGAAATGCAAAACCACCAAGTAGAAATCATGCCCAGGCAAGAAAACATACTTTATTCTGCTTCCTCTCAAGACAGAGCAAGGCCTACCCTGGTGAATACACTTCAAGAACTTGACAAATTAGCTTTCCTGAAACTAACTGCTTCAACACCTCTTAACTTCTCTTTTCTTACGTAACTCAAGGCACCATGGAATGATCCAAGATGCTCTCATTCACCTAACAACTCCAATGAGCACAGCTGCAGGATATTTGTTCTGGGCATTCTTAGCAATAATTCAAAGCTCCAACCTTACACCAAACCATGACTACCCTTTTTAATATTGACTTGGAAAACTATTACTAACCTGTTGGCCTCTATTTCATTCCTTCATTTCTTTATGAAAACTATCAGTGATATCTGTTTTCTGATTTATAGAATCAGCTGAATTAAGTGTCCAAATGTAGATGATAAATTAAATTATTTTAAACTGGTGGTAATTTGAGATATTGTTCCCGAGGTAGATAGCAGAAATAAGTCATTTCTTGTGCTACTATAGTTCAAAAGCAATTTCAATTTTAGGGTTAATATAATATATTTAATTAGACTGGAAGATAGGGTATTTCCTTATCTTTCACAAAGAAGGCTGTTCCCTGAGGTGGTCAGTGTTTGCTATAGATGGCTACTGGAATGCCTGGCTATACCTGGGGAGAGTGAGGAATGAGGTTCCATGTCTAGGTAAATTATAAAGTTCATGTTAAAGAAAACAAACAGACTTGCCTGTTTGGGAATGGCTGCTGGAACAAATCTGTGTTGAATGGCTTGGAGGTGGAGAAAAAGAGCAAGTTCGAAGGTGATTAAGTTAATGAGAACTGGAAGTTTTATGTCAGTTATTACAACATTAATTGATCTGATTGTTGCTAAAAGTTCACTGCATATTTTCCAGGAAAATTTGAGGGCAGAGCCCTCTCTTTCTTTCTTTTTTGATCTCTTGACAATGTAATTTAGGAGAAATATCCTGCATTTTTTCAAGCAAACTAGGTAGACTCTTAATTCTGAAAATGAGGGGCAAATTTAGACTCAAGATTCAGATTCTTAGTCATTTATTGAATAAATACTAGTGTTATCCTGTGCCAGGCACTTTTACTCCCCTGTAGGACTATTAAAGGCATCCTCCTGCACTGTTCACATTTTCAAATGTATATACACTCCAGGTGGATGGACAGTATGCTCGGCCTTTTCCAAATGCAAAGCAGCTACAGCAGATAAAATAGGCTGTGGACTCAATTCCAGGTTTTATATTGCTGCAGCAGCTGCCCTCTGAGTTTGAGGATCAAAGCATTTTTTTCTACTGAGTGAACCTATTCCCTCTACCTTTACACTTTGTAGCAGAGGAGAACTGGCCTGGGAATGCCCACAGATCACCTGGCAAGCAAAAGGCTCAAGTTCCTTGAATATCTTAGTCCTCAGGCACAGATTTCTTATCTCATTTCATGGACGGAAGCAGCTTGTGTAAGATAAAATCCATCATACAACTTAACATTATGCTCAGCCCATGGAGAGAACCATAATTTAGCATTACGTTTGTGAGAGGCCCACTGCGACCATTACAGTCAGAATAAATTCTGTCTCCCTCCACACTTTCTACTTCTCTCCCAGACAGTATATGTTAGGAGAATGGACTTCAGAACAGACAGCAAAGATAAACCTAATACTTATAAGAAATCTTCTTTTTTCTCCTTAAAAAACATCAACAAAAGAGAACACTGACTTCACATACTATTTTCGCCTTTGCTGTGACTTAAGCCTCTATACAGTACCAAGAAAGAAAAGCCCTTAATATTTTTGGAGCTTGCAAGGAGAGAATGTGCAATGCTGCTCATCTTTCTTTCTCTCTCACACATTGGTGGTTTTTCTTTCCCTTGATCGTGATCACCCACTTTATAAATACACTAAGTTACTGTCAGGAAGAACATATTTAAATTTTTTAAAAATGTATATTTCTGCAAATGGTTTGAAAACCATATTCTACTTCTCTTCACTCCTAGACCTAGAGTCCAAGTTAAGCATTAGTTATAAGGTGCAGATTATAGTTAACTGATAGTTTTCAGAAAGAAGAAACAATATCCCTAGGATTAAGAATTGAAAACACATTATTTAAAAATAAGTAGCCGAAAACTTTTCTAACATTTTGAACAATTTCTAGTAGGTGGAATTCTATTAGTCTAAGAGGAGTATATACTTTTGGAAACTCCTAACTTCATCTTCATTTCTGAATTTTCTGAAACTGACAGGCTGATACATGATTGATGTACTGACATTCAAATTAAATTTAAAGCACATTAGTTAAAGCATGCCTGGTAACTCTAGTCAGTATTTGTTGCCATGTAAGAAGTGATTTTAATTTATATTAATTAAGACTAATCCAATAACTCCCTCTAGATGCTATAGAAGAATATTGGGAGCGGTCATTTTCAATACCTAAATGTAAATTCAATTTTGTATTCACTGGAAAGTTCACCAAGAAAGGAGAAAACACTATAAACTAATTTAAACAGGATTTAGATTGCAGCATTATTAAAGCTATTCATGTGGAAAGAAATTAACACTGCTTATAAAAAATCACATCAAAGATGCACTTATAAAAATTCCAAATATTTTCTGTGAACATGCTCAGGCATAACTCTTACTGTGAGTGCAGTTTAGAAAGTAGAACATGCAGATGTGCTTTTTCCACAGTAAGAATTGGGAAAACTACTATGTTATTGAGTGAATCTGTACCACTTTCTCATTAAAATGGCCAGTGTTTTCTAAGTGAGGTTCTTGTCATATTGTAACTGGGTAACTGGAAATATCTGCCCACAGGGCTTCCTCCCTGATTGGCATTTCCCCTTCATTCTGCTCCAATTTGTTTGCCATACTGCTTTTTGTTAAACATCATGGCCCTATGCTTCTGCACACATAAAGGGGCCTTCATACTGCCAACTGTCATTTCTCTCCCAAGATTTAGACAAAGTGCCCTTCCATAAAGAAACTTTTTCTGCAACTGTGGATTGAATTAGGTGCCTATCTGCTATGTTTCCACCAACCCAGATATACCCTACCCACATATTCATTCTGTACAGTAATTGGTGTTTACACCTTTGAGGTGCTAATATGAGTAAAAAGTTCCCAAACACATTTCAATCTTTGGGTCACTTTGAGTTTTTCCCTTTATAGTTTATATCTTACTATGCTCAATTTCTCATAGATTTGTACTGATTAGTTCTAGAAAGTCACAAATTCAATGATTAAGGGTTGGAAAACATAAAAGTTTATAAAAATTTTAATTTCATGTTAGTAAATACTTTCACATATGTCATTATCTTCTAGAGATAAATGTTTTCATGGTAAGCAAGCTGGCTGCTCCTTTTGTCTTTCAGGACTCTGAGGTCATTATCACTGGCTATGATAGTTAAGAGTGATAGCAAATAATTTCACAGAAGCACAGTCCTTGGCAGAAATGAACTAACAACATTACCAAATGATTCAAAAATATTTTGAAAGCATTTTTAATTCTGTGACGGTAATAACCATTGCTCAGCTTTTTGAGGAATAAGTAGTAGTATAAAGACCATCCATCACTCCTCAGTATTACCAGCTGAATACACACTCATTTCATTTCATTTCTTGTGACTTTAGACTTTGTTGTCCTATTTCCTTTTCCTTCTTTTCTACATCTATTGAGCACCTGCCACACAGTGCATTAAAAATTGCATATAGAATAATCTTAGCTATTCAAAGACCATATGCATGAACAATTCTTTGGAAATTTGTTCAAAACACAGATTCAGCCTTTCTCAGACCTCGTAACTGTAAATCTGCATTTACTCCTGTTGATTTATGTGCAGAGAAAGTTTGCCAAGCACTGGAGGGAACAACTTGGTGGAAGCCAGGTAGACTAGTTAGGAATGAATCTAAGTTAAGAGAGAATGAAAACCTGAAATGGAAAGTAGCAGCTAAGACAGTAGTGGATATTGAAAGGCTTTAATGTGATTCATATGAGCTTTGTGAGTCCCTGACCCTAAGTCCCCACTCTCAATTAAAGAATAACTGTCATCCTTATCCAGAAAAAGAAAAAAGTGTCAAGCACTTGAAGTGGGCATAGATACTACAGCAGATCCTTTCAAAAGAATCCTGAGCATAAACTAAATGATTCTATAGGGGTGTGAACCTTTACCTGTCTTTGATATTGCTACTTTATAATGCTGTAGTAATAGAACATAAATCGCAGAAAAGTGTTAATGATGCAAATAAATTCTAACAATACCAATGAATTTTTGTTCAGTAGAACATTTAAATCTTTATATGGCAAATTCTCCTTTGAACCAGTTTTAACATTTTATTGTTTCTTCATTTCTTGAATTAAATAAAATCATTAGCACATGCTTATTTTATATTTGTAAGACAGTCATGATTTCACTGCCATAGGTCCTTCAACAACTACTGGCAGACAAAATCCTCAAAGGCAGGATCCATGCTGAAACTCCAGGGCATGGAAGAGAGTGGTAAATACTTGGTGAATTTTCAGCTGATACACAGATATGATAGGGGAAGGAACCAAACTTCTAAGTAGTATTTTTTTTCTCTTTTGTGTGTTCAAGGAGATTTAGTCTTTGAATTTAAGAACTATGATAGGATAAAAGCCAGATTATAAACACAGAATATGAGACTTAGGTGGATTATAGCTTCGTTATTTATGGCCAGGTGTGTACAAGAACACCAGGAGGGGAGGTTCCACTTTTGAACAGAAAGAGAGAGAAAAAAAATAAAAAGCAAGACTTCTTTTAAAAACACTGTTCCCCCCAAAGAAATAAGGAGGACATACAATGAAATGATGCATCTCTACATTGGTACTGATTCTGGATTTGGATGATAGCTGGAAATTGCTCAGTGTATTGTCACATAATGATCTAAGCAGACCTGAATTCTAGGCCGATCAAAGCATTGCTGAAACCACGTTGGCAAAATTTCACTATAAGCCAGCCCCTGACATGGTTTGAATGTCCTCTTCAAAATTTATGTTGAAATTTAATTGCCATTGTAATGGTATTAAGAAGAGTCGGGCCAGGGATTTAGCTCAGTGGTTCCATTGCTTCCCTTGCAAGCACAAGGACCCGAGTTCGATCCCTGGTACCAAAAAAAAAAAAGAAGAGAGTCCCCTCGTAAATAGATTAATGCTACTGTCACAGGAAGCATCTCCTTATAAAAGAATCAGTTCAGCCCCATCCTCTTTCTGTCTCACATGCTTGCCTGCCTTGCCTTCTTTTGCCATGAGGTAGTGCAGCATGAAGGCCCTCACCAGATGCGGGTGCCATGCTCTTCAAGTTCCTAACCTCCAGGGCCATAAGCCAAATAAACTTTTATTTTTAAGTTATCTGGCTTCATGTAGTATTCTGTTATACCAGTAGAAAACAGACCAAGGCAGTCCCCATACAAGTCTCCGTTTTCTAGCTGCTCAATTAACTATACATAAATTAACCAAATCACAGACACTATAAAATGCTACACAAATAGTTATTGCTACTATTTACCCCCAAATTTCACCAACTACTTAGTATCTGTAAAAATGAGAAAACTAAGAGGGCAATCTGAAAATGAACTCGTGCTCGCTTCAGGATCAAACAAATGTTTCTAAATAAAATGTCCTATTGTGCCTCCATGAAGGTGAATAACACCTAAGAAAGTGATTCTCAAATAGGCTCCTGCGCTTCATATTTCCCTTGCCTGAAGAAGGAGACCTAGTTTTTAGTGAATGGAACATCCACTTGGCTCACAGCATTATTGACTTTTACTTTCATGGAACCATAAATATTGAAAACCATCTCAGCAAAATGCAGGTACCCCTTCAACCCAGCCTCCCTCTGGCAGGCTGATGCTGCCCATCTCTGTATACAAATCTGAATCTAGTCCTCTGGAAATTGTAAGTGTGATCCTGGAGGACTGGATTCTTGGTGACACATCAAGAAATCCCAAGAGCACTGCTTGCAGAGATTCATCAGAACTTTACCTGATGAGAGAGATATCTTCATTCCATCACATAAGGAAAGATTATGGGCAGCTTTCCGAAGGGGGAAAGGTAAACAGAAACTTTTAAGTGCTCTTGCCCAGAGAAATCCCCAGTAGGAGAGGATATAATGCTTCCACGCTGTCTAATCAATCTCTTCCTTGCACAGGCCAAGCCCAGGGCTCCTCAGGGCTGGATTGTCTCTGTTAGATACAGTGAAATTCATTATCTTGTCTGGCTGGTGCCACTGTTTCCAATAAAGTGTAATTATGGTGCTATTGAGCTCCTTCTCACTTTCTCAAATCCTCTCCATAAACTTTGGGTCCTGCATAGTCACTTCCCAGTCAGTCTTCATTAAGTCAAATTGTCTCTGAACAATGTCTGTTTAATCAGCAGGGTGCCCACTAATTTTCTTTTTCAGAATTTGTATTAATGTAACAGACACTGGGTGACTCTGTGCCTCAGACAATGGACAATTACAATTCAGTGTTTCCCCTGGCTTTGGATGGCCAAGCAGTGCATGGACTGACCCAGTTATAGAAGATGTCCCCTCGCTCACTGCAGCATTGCCCCCTGGGTTGGCTATCTCTTTGGGGAGAGTGCCCTGTACTTGGCACTTTTATATAGTGGTAGATTATAGTGTGTGTGTGTGTGTGTGTGTGTGTGTGTGTGTGTGTGTAATTTCACTATAATAAGTAGCAAGTGCAGGATGATTTGTTATTTTTTCTATCAATCAAGAAACCTAAACTCTGTGAGGCAGGGACTTCTATTTTCTTTTCCTTCAGTACCTAGCAAGTGCTGCACATATGGTAAAGGGACCAAAAAAATACCTCTTGAGTGAGTGAAATGATGGTTGAGCACACAACACTACGTTTCCAGTCATCCTCAATCTAAATAGCTGGACAGACAGAAAGAAATTAATTTGCTACACACCTACTGTGTACAATTTTAGCACTGGACAGGACTTGGAGAACCTTACAGATCATAATAAAGGCTTGGCTTGTACAAGATTATGGTGAATAAAGATTATGGTGATCTTCAAAAATAAAACTGTAAAAATAAATATGCACAATGTAAAATGAGGGAAAATGTCTATAACATACCTAAGATAAGATTTCTCAGGGGAGAAAAAAATCAAATCCTATTAGTTTATTTTCAGATTGCAGTTTCACTTCCTTTCTGATACAGGTCTCAGTACCTCAAATCCTGACTGCATTTTATATCCCTACATCAGTGAAATAATCTTCTGGGAAGTTTCCTTGGCTCCCCTTGTCTGGCTTTGCAGCGTTATAAGGAGGATGGAGTGGATTTCCTGGACTCTGAGGCAGCCAATTTCCTAAGCAATTAAATGGTGTTTATATTCCAAACTGTGCTTGGGTTGAAATTGTCAAGCTTGATATTACCTGACTCTTGCCTAAGATGTATCCTCAGCTAGTTCAATCTACTGTAACATCCATCTATTAAAATTTCCAATCTGTTCTCTCAAGGGATTGCATGGTACTTGGCAAAGGTACAGCTTTCTGAATTCTGCAAATTATACTCATCTATGTAAATATATATTTTTGAAATGGCAAGGCTTGCAAATTACTCTACCAAATTGACATCCCAATCTGCTAACCTCCAAAAGGAGAGGCAAATGCTGTGTATCTCATACATGCGTAGACACTTCTGTGCCGGTTTCTTAAAAATAATGTAATGTAGAAGTTAAACTTTTATGAAATTCCTCCACAATGTTACAGAACCAAGGTGCTAGTTCTTGTCACTTCCAGATGTGGACATGACTAAATGCAATGTGTTCCATATAGATCATGAGGTGAGACCTTACAATGCAGTAAACATTAAAGGAAAACTGTTGCAATGAACATTCCTGGTTGAGAATGTTTCTCGCTCTCACTCTGGACACTCCTTATGGTTTTACTGCTGAGTGAAGAAGTGAGATGATGTCTGCATTTGCACTGTGTATGTTTTTGTATTTTTTGAAGGAAGGGACAGCATTGCCTGAGTATTTACACCTGCACGGCATGCCTGCCGAGAGCAGCAGAACATGTACGTGTACCTAGAGCATCAGTAAGAAGACCTCTGTGGTTATAACACGGCATTCCAGGGACAATTGCTGTTGATCAGGGGCTCCCAAGACAGATGGAGTCAGGGATAAAAGACAGTTTTATTACAAAGCATAGAATTTTCCTATGCTTCTAAAATAGGTGTTAGGGCACTTCACACATTTTCTTTAGTGAAAACATCCACTCTACTTAGTACACTGCCTGCAATACACCAGCTAGGCTCTAAAACACACTGAGGACCAGTCACATATTTCCTCTCATCAGAAATCTGTGATGGGCTCTCCACTGTTTATGAAATAAAACCTAAATACAGCAACAGTCTTCCAGGTTCTACCATCTGGACCAGACTGCTTTTCCAGCTTCACCTTGCTCTATAAATGCACTGCTGGTGCCAAATTCCTCACTGCTTCCCATGTGGCTGTATTCCTAAGGCTCCAGCCTCTGGACAGAATGCCATTATGCCTCTTTTTATCTTGGGAAAATCTTGTTTATCTTGCCAAGTTTAAAATCTGCCTGCTCTGTGAAGACTATCCTGATGCCCTCAACACTGTTCACACCGGTCCCTGCATTCCCAAAGGACGCTGTATGTACCTTGGTTGACAGTCATGCCAATGGCTTTGTTTTACAGTCATCCCTGTACCTGTAGACACCTGCCTGTGGCAACTGTGACCTTTGTTAGTCCTGAGAGAACCAAATGACTTGAAGAGGTTATGATCATTGATTACCTGTAAAATGCCCAGCTCACCCAAACTTGATTAATAACAGAGCTGGATCCACACACCCATCATCCCAATTTCAGAATCTGGACAACTTCTTAGTTATCACTGAAGTTCAGCAGGGTAGGTACTAAGGTTTCTGTGTCCTCCCTCACAGTCTTGACCAAGGAATGTCACAACAAACAGAGAAAATGAAATATTTTTCTCTTGCTACTCATCTATAGGTGTTAGAGTGTCTTTTCAACTTTATTACTGAAGACAGAATCCTATTCTACATGTCTCCTCTATTGTCCATGACCCCTAGCATAGAGTCTGATATACCTAAGGGTGGCTTTAAGAGTCTATGGCCCTGAAAACTGTACAGGGCTCTGAGAACACTAGGCACCACCTAGTCCACAGTGGAACTGTTTCCCTGGCTCACTGGACACTGGGCCAGATGACAACAGCCTTTTGGGTCTGGTGCTGTCCACCTTGCTGCCCTCTTATTCACTGAGTTTTGCTGAGTGAAAATACACATATATTCATGGAGAATACAGGTAGGGGTGCTGGAAAGGGCCAGGCTGTGCCAAGCAGGACAATGAAGCCCAAGTGTCTACAGCTTTAAAGTCCTCACCACTCACATGAAAATAGCAGGGGGAAGAAAGAGAAAGAGGGCTTTGGAGTTTGAGGACCATGGCTTTCCTTCAACAGGTGGTGGCTAATGCGGAGGAAGAAAAGCACACCCAATTGGCTTCATACCTTTCAGCTTTTCGGCCAGCAGGGAAGCCTCATGCTCTGAGTAGTGCATGATGGCGGGCGGGGAGGGCGGTCGGAGCCGGTCCTCCTCCAGCTTTCGCCTGTGCCGCTCCTCACGGGCGCGCATCCTCTGCTTGCATTCCCACTCGTAGAAGTCATCTCGGGCCTGGGCAAAGTCTACGTGAAGGCGACCTGAATCCTTTTTGTCTGTGCTAGACCCTAATCGCATCCGGTAACCTGAAAGCAGTGGAAAGTCTGGTCACATTACAATGTCACAATGGAGATCCATTTCAGTCCAGGCATCACCTCATGTTAGGCAAATGCTCATTTATTTCTTTGGCCACAGGACAAGACATCTTTCTCATAGTAGGTGGGAAGCAGTTAACTTCCTTCCCATCAATCCTGAAATGCAGTTGAATCAAGCCTTTTACAGCTTTGAGGATAAACATACCTCAGGGAGGTATCTCAGAGGGTTTCTGATCATGTCCAAGCCAGCATTCCCAACAGAGGATGATCTTTAAAACTAGGAGGACCATTGTGATAACTCTCTGCTACCTTCACACTTCCAGGGAGCTCAGAAACAAATTTGGCAGGTGGTAAATGTTTTTTGCTCTACCTCTTATGGTCTTGATTTCATATTTTCAATTAACTATGACGCCATTGCAAAAATGCCCTTAAGTTCTATTTAGAAAAAGGTGGGGTATGGGTAAATAAAGAGCATTTATGATATTTAAAAGGATCTACAAAGTATATTCCAGAACACCTCACTCTTACACCATTGCTTCATTCCCTTAGAAAAGGGGGTTCCCCAGTTTTCTCCCAGCAACTACAAGAGCCACAATTACTAAAGTGATTTTGCAATGCTGTTTTATTTCCACATATCCTCTGGGGCACAAAGAGGAATATTTTACCTTCAATCAAGAGGTATTAGTGCTGCCTCTTCACAGCCCTGCAGCACTTCATATGGTGCATAGCACCACACAAATTGTCCATGCAATCTTTAGAAGCCATAGGAGCCCCACGCAAGAAGAGCCCAGTGATAGACAAAAAACATAGGGCCTAGAAATCTTTAGGGGATTTACTGTGAGCTACCCAATTTATAGAGTATGAGCAGAAACTTGATCTGAGAAATCAACACAGGACTAAAGTCAGCTAGCCAGCCTAACTTCAAATGAAGAAAAGTTGACTTTGAGGTTGCTCTTCAATTTGGGGTACTCAGATTTTCAGAATACAAATTCAGGTCTCAGCAGGAACATGGCTGCCAGGGACTGCCAGAGCAGAGAGCAAAATAAGTCCTTTTGCGGTATAGGGACTTTGCAAATGAGATCCAACTGTAAAATGCTAGGCTGTGCTGTGCTGATGTTCAAAATCTCATGGTAGGTTTCAGTGGATTATCATAGCATTTTGGGTTGAAACACAGTTGAAAATCCCTGTGGAGGTTGGCTTCTCCCCAGTAGGGCACTTCACACCTTTGAAAAGTTACAAATAAGATACAGATCTTACATCTGATGCCAGCATGCCATTGAACCCTTCTGCCTCCTAGGTTTAAACAGTGTTATATAAAAATGAGAAGATATAATAATACTGATCAAAAACACAACAGCTGCTCATAGATGAGCAGAATTGATGCTAAAGCAAAACATGTCTTGGTTGCGGGCCATGGAAAGCTAATAAGTCAGCAGGCCATGGTGATATATCCATAACAGCTAAGCAGACTAAGCAGGCCAGCTGTCCCAACTGGCCAAGCAACTTTTCCCTGCTCATATCCAGAGAATCACTTTTCAGATATTTCTCATTCCACAAGCACCCTCCCCTTCACCAAAACATCATTAAAGCCTTACAGAGACCTTGATGACGATGAGACTAAAATTAGCTTGGCCTTCAAATGTGAACATGGTCCTAAAATTAGACAGGCTTTCCAGCTGGGCCTGGGCTTGCAGGAGCTCACACAGAGGAGGGCAACGTGCCTTCCTTCCTGTCCCTCCCATTAGTCAGACTGTTACAGCTCCCCAGCACTGACACGGCTGCCTCGGCCGGCATCCAAGACAGAGCTGGAGACTTCTCTGTACCTAGGAGGGGAGGCTGCAGCTGAGGCCTGTGCTGGGGCTTCTTCCTGCTGCAAAGGGGTAGACTGAGAAGAAGCCATCAGGGCTTGCTGAGGGGAACAGGCCAGGCCCATGGATCAGAAAGGGAAAAAGCACAGGATCATGGCATAAGTAATAGAGCTCTTTCAGATGACTACATTTGAGACTACTTTCACGGTATGTTATTGAATTTCTCATTGGGTCTAAGTATGGTGGTATACACCTATAATCCCAGCACTCTGGGATGGTGAGGCAGGAGGATCCCAAGTTTGAGTCCAGCCTGAACAACTTGGTGAGACCTTGTCTCAAAATTTAAAAAAACTTTAAAAGGGATGGGGATATAGCTCAGTGCAATGGCCCTGGGTTCAATTCCAAGTGACCTTTAAGCTACTCTAACTCTCTGACTGAATTATGTGGGACAGAGTAATAGCTGGTTGTTTTTGTTTTTGATTTTGACAGACAGACCTATGATTAGAACCCAGATACCTGGGACAAAGTTTGCTGAGAAACAAGAATCAGTCCTTCTTTGCCATGCCCAGGGTACCTGTGTTAAAAACAACCATGTACTGATGGTTCCTATGTTGTACCTATGTTATATACTTGCCAAGTACCAAGTATCCAATATCTGATGTAACTTGCCTGACAGTCCTAGTTGGTAAACCACTCTTTTCTTCAGATGAGAACAAAGAGCTGGGAGAGAGGTTATCCGCATCGGCAACCCAGTTCTCCACACTGTCCAAACCCCTAGTGGCCTAATAGCTGTGTGTAAATTGCAGAATGTCCTTATTCCAGGTCTGTCTTCCTTATCCACTGTGGAGTGCTTTCAGACTTGGTTTTTCTCTTTGCAAGATTTTACTGGAATAAGGGTTCCAAAGTTCTCCAAATTATTATCTGGTTCAGGAATGTTTCTGAAGTTTCAATATTTCTGAAGTTTCAAGACAACCTCCAGGCATCTGCACAGAATGTCATGGCAATAGAGACTGACTGCAGAAACTAAGTAAAACCTGGCAGTAATGTTCACATGGGTTTTTTTCATGTTGTGTTCCCATCTTCCCCTATTAGCTGTGCCTTAGGAATATGGAAGTGATACATGGAGGGTGATAGTGTGAAAAATGTCACTGGAAAGTGTGAAGGAAAAGCAATGAGTTGAATCTAAAAAGTAGGTCCTTCTAAAGCCCCATCTCAACAGCAGCTCCATTATTTACAGAGTTGGCAAAGGCCTTGTTGACAGACTCCATACACATGTTCCAACACCCACAAAGTGGAAGGCAGCATATGGCCTAATTTCAACATCTATAAAATTCTCCAACAAAAACTGGTACCAAAGAACAAGGCCAGTTGAGCAGGCTTAGTGAACTATCAAATGAGCAGTGATGCTGGTCCTTATCAAAGGGCCCATGAACTATGTACTTTCCTGTGAGGAACTATTCTCACTTTGGTAATCTGGTGCTGAGAAAGTAAATCCACTTCGAAAACTAAAATTATTCTGAGAGAGTACTTTACTCCCCAGAGGATTACATCCAATAACAATAATGGTCCTCAGTACTCATAATATTGCTTTTCATCTAATAAGCACTTGAGAGCATTAATTAGAAACTCAATGGAATTCCTAAAGACTGGATGGTAGGAAATCATTCCTGCAGTGAGGTATATTCACAGCCTGAACAGAGAGCCTTGGGCAGCTAAGGAAAAAGGCAGAATTCCTCCTTCTCCAGCCCCAAACTATGAGTACTTTATTGTGCTTTAAGACAAAAGGGAATATGCTCATATTAACATCACAAAACATGACAAAATGCCTAGCACACCCCTTATGTAATGCAAAGTACCAGAAAGGTAAATGGCTTTATCAACCATGAATTCCTCTGCAAAGCGAATGTGACAAAAATTCTTCTTGCTCTTTCGGATCGCTGTAATATCACCACACTGCTCAAAGACTTCTTGAATAATTTCCTCGGTAGCATTTTCTGGTAATCCTCCGACAAACACAGTCTTACACCCAGGAGGTCGTTCTCTGGTGGAAGGAGGTGGAAGATCTAATAGCACAACAAAATAGAGAGTTTTGTCTTTTATTGATTGGTCCTCTTTTCCTGGCTCAGTTGGCAAAAGTCAAGCTTGTAGTTATCTACCCCAGGCAGAATGACCATCCACTTCCATACCAATTTAGATTTTCTATGGGCTGTATTATTTTAGGTTCCTCTCCCTCCTCCTCTCAACCTTTTTTCTCTGTGTTTGTTTCTACACTGAGAGGATATGCTTGCTCATGAACAAAGACAGTGCACATGTTAGCATAATTTCATTTCTCCTTCATAATACACAGGCCCAGAAAAAAAAGGAGGGGCTTTCACAAAGTATAAAACATGATGAAAGAGCTTGGCCTATTATTGGCTATGTCTTGTTGCCAGATAAAGAAGCAGCAAGGCGGAACACAGGAAGCACACCCTAAAGATGCAAGCACAATACTTACTTGACTGTGAAACACCCGCGCCTGAAAAAAACACTTTGTAATTATTCGCATTTAAATGAGCAAACCATTTCATTTTGGGGAGGCTGTATAAAAAGATAAAATTTACACTGTTACAACATTTTACCTAGTTTATATGTAGATTACTAAAGCAATCTCTTGAAAAGTCCACTTTAAAAAGGCAACATTGATTAATATGAATTTAAAAAATTCTAGCTATTTAGATCGAAAAAATTAGTATCTAAGGCTAAATTTAAAAAATTCTGGCCCATTTACTTCATCAAATGTATAGGTCCTTTAAGCAAATGCAATTTGGTCCAGAAATTCTGAGACACAGGCTCCCTCCTGCACCAAAATTGCTAACTGCCAAATTAATTCAAGTTTCCATCTAACAAACACATTTCAGAGTTTTTCTCTTACATTTGTGAAGATAGATGAAAGTGCTTATGTATCTTACACTATGTTCTCCAGGAAATGCTAGACTTCGCTGAGTGCAAACAAATTCTTAATGTTGGATATAAATCCCCAAATCCCTCATCCTGACCTCTTGGTGGCTATTCAGCTCCTGGACAGATAAAAGAACAGATCTCTGTATATTTCTTCTAAAAGAGAAACAAAGGCCTCTTTTCGTGTGTGTTTGAATTACATCTGAAAATTAATGCAATACTATTTTAAATAAAAGGGAAATAAATTTAAAATGATGAACAAATGTTTTTCACAGGTGTTACTTACTTGGATTTTGAGGAAAAAGAGTACAACTTTTGCAGTGAATTATTTCTTTAACAACAGCCACTTCAGTTGGTGGTGGGGGTGGTACCAGCCCCAGGCCTGGTATCATTGGGTTAATAGGGGTGATTCCAGTCATCATGTTGAGGCTTGGGTCAAAACCTGGGACACAGATTGAGTCTGTAAAGCATATGAAAAAATCCATTTTTGTTATTTTCTATTTTTCAGTTTTTCCTGGCATAAGATGCAGCACTAAAGAAAGCTATTTCAGAAAGGGGGGAGGAGTGGAAATAAACCTGAAACTACATGAAAAAGAAATTTTATTATGTAAAATATTAACATGGCAGAACAGAACACAGCATATTAAAGTGTAAAATCATGTACCATGAAGCTATGCTATTACTTTGAATATAATTTTCTGTTTTTTAATGTCAGTGTATTGTTTACCCTGCCTTATGACCCAGAATGTGGGAAGAATATCATTTAACATTGAAGTGCCCTGTGAATCGAATTGTCAGTCTGGTTTTATCAAAAGAGCCTTCTTGTACAAGTGACCTAGATTTTGGAAAGTTCAATTTATATGTGGATACTTTATAATGATCACTGAAGTCACGCCTAATCTACTGCTCCCAGGGTAGGGGACAAAGTGTGATTATAATTACTATAGCTGGTTAGATACATGCAGGCATAAAGTTAGTTGTGTATATTTCTGAATTCTATTGGATAATCATTATTTCTTCCTATAATTCAATCAGTAGACAATTGGTCCATCCTTTTCAAATCCTTACACTTTATATTTAAAAACTACTTCCAAATGTGAAGGGGATAAAAAGAATGGGTTTTCCATATAAAAACTGAATTGATTTTTAAGTGTGATAATGAAGCAAGTAATTTCAAAGATGATATATGAGATTTTTGGGGGAGTGGGTAAGACTTCTATTATCAAAAAAGGCAAAAGATAAATGTTGGCAGGGATATGGAGAAAAAGAAATATTTATATAGTGTTGGTGGAAATGTAAATTGATGTTACGGAACCAAGGAAAAACAGAAGTATGATCCAGCAATCTCCCTACTAGGTATATATCAAAAGGAAATGATATCAGTATGTCAAGGAAACATTTGCTTTTTCATGTTTATAGCAGCACTAGACAGAATAGTCAGTGTATGGAATCAAGCTAAATGTCCATCAACAAATGACCAGTTATAGAAACTGGCTGGAAGGCTGAAGCAGGACATGCCTGGGCAACTCAGTGCAGACTTAAGAAATAAAAAGGTCGGGGTGGTGTAGCTCAGTATAGGACCCTGGGTTCAATTCCCCAGGACCATGGGGAAAAAAAGGAACACAAAAGAAACTGTGGTACATACACATATAATAAAATACTATTGAGTCATTTAAAAGAAGAAAATCCTTTCATTTGTAACAACATGAATGAACCTGGAGGAAGTATGTTAGGTAAAATTAGCCAGGCACAGAAAGATATTCCCTGGTATCAAAGTTGAAAAAAGTAGATTTCATAGAAGTAGAGAGTAGAATGGTGGTTACCAGAAGCTGAATGGCTCGACAGGGTGAAATGGGGAGATAATCAAAGGATACATAATTAAATTCAGGAGGAACAAGTTCAAGACATCTGTGGTACAGCATGGTAACTATAGTTGCTGATGATAATTTTTTTTTTCTGTACTAGAGAAGAAACCCAGAGATACTGTACTACTGAGGTACATCCTCAGCATTTAAAAACAGTTTTTTTAAAAAAATTTTGAGAAAAGGTCTTGCTAATACTAAGTTGCCCAGGCTGGGCTCAAACTTGTGAAACTCCTGCTTCATCCTTCTAGAGTGCTGGGATTACAGGTTATTGAAGTATGCCCAGAGTAGATGCTAAGTATTCCCAACATAAAAATGATAACTATGTGAAGCAATGCCCTTGTCAATTAGCTAGATTTAACCACTCCACAATGTCTATATACACCTCCATACATCAGATTTCAATTTTATCTGTCAATTTTTAAAAAGTAAGCCCTTTCTAACAGCAGAGGCTGTTAAAATACTGGAATGAATTTGTAAGAGTATCTGCAAGATCCTTCTCCTCAGGGTTTTTATGTTTACAGAAAATAGCAGTCTCTCTGGTGGTGTGATGGTGGACTGAGGTAAACAGATAGAGGCATAGATGCCACCAGGGCATGGTGACTCTCCACCATTCTTCAAGGATGAAACTTCCTTCTTGTCTCTCACTCTCCTATCTTTTGCTCTCTTCTCATCTCTGGTCACATTCTTCCTTCCCACTCCCCTTTCCTTTTGGGTTTTCCCTCTCCAGCCCATGCCCCTGCCATCCACATACTCTGTCTGCCTGTTGTGAAAGGCTGCATGAGCCCAGAGGCAGATGCAATGACAACTATAGCCTTTGTTTACTAAGAAATTCTAGGAAGATACAGGAAGTTTGGCCAATTTCTCCATTCTGGAAAAAGATATATAGCATTTTTCCAGCTATCTTGGATATGCTCAAACCTCCTCTGGGTTGAACAGAATAAGCAGTGTGATCCCTGATTTATAACCTCAAGAGATGTGTCCTTTTGTTAGAAATTTCATTTCCTTTGATAGCACGCTAGCATGACTTCAGTAAAATTTTTTTATTTTGTATGCCCACTTGTGTTTTTATACATAATCCTAAATATAAATACCAAATAGGCATTTTCTTTCAAACAGTCACCCTAATATTGTAGGCACTTCCTCTATAATTACGCTTTTCAGCTTCTTCCTCTATGACATGCACTGTTTGACTGGGCTAGTCTTTGGAGTACCAATATTCCTGAACTCCAGGTAGCTATGTCAATAGTGCTCAAAATGTATTGATATACAAAAGATATGAAGGGTTAGATAAGGGCAAGATTTAAATTCTAGTTATTCATCTAGTCCTTATAGTACTTCACTGGTATTATTCCCATCTTACAGATAAAGAAATTAATCCTTTAAAGCAGTTAAGTAAAATATCAGACATCACAAACCAAGCCACTGACAGATTCTGAACTAGGGCTCAGATCTTTGGTTTCATACTTAAACATGTATTAGACACTATAACTATTTCAATGTTTCTACTTACATTGACCCAACTTGATTAGTCATCTAGTACAATGCCACTAATCCTTAAAACATTTAACCTTAAAAAAAAACAAAAAAAAAAACAAGATTTTTTTCCTCCTGATCTAGATGTCAATTCTAAAAAAGTTCCAGAATAGAATGGTTTACAACATAACGATCATTGAAATAACATACTGGCTTCCAAGATGAATATATTAGAAATAGAAATATTGGCAGTAATAGGCTTGTGCATTTCATTTAATCTCATTCCATACATAGGCTTCATCTCTTTCTTTCCTGACCTGGCCTTCGCTATTGTTTGCCAACACAGAATGATTTAAGGCAGAAACCACTCAAGACTGCAAGCCCTGAAATGCAAGCCCTGCAAATTATAATAAGCAGATGTTTTGAACAAATGAGATGAGGAGCCCAGCGAGTATATTCTCTTTTAGTTGCGACAGACTTCTGTTTTTTTTCTGAGGACCAAATACATAAATAAATAAATATTCAGAAATGGTGACAGAAGACATTACCCCTGAGGAAAATGTTTTAATATACAGCGGGAGTTGTATTGCTTTTTCAGAGACATCAATATGAAGACTATGAGGTTTAATGAAATCTGCATAGTGAGTGCAGTAGCTTGAAAAGAGCTTAGAAAGGAATCAGCACTTAAATTATGTTGGACCTCAAAGGGTCTGAGATTTAACGTTTGAACAGAGGAAGTAGAGAAGAATTAGACTTTTTTAAAATAAGAAACCATTACTTTTTAACAATATATGAACGATGGAAATTGTTTCCTCAAACAGCACAAAAGCATATTATATACTAACTCATTAAAGGCCATGCATAAATGTTGAAAATCTGAGAAAGACACATACACACAAGAAGACAAAGGTGAAGGCAACCCAAACTCTTAAGAGTCAGTTTCTGGTCTTGTGCAGAAAAGCTGCCCCTGTGAACTTCAGAGATAATGAATTACAATCTACTCTGGGAACAGAGGAGAATGGCATAAATTGCAACATGAAAAGATCCAATTAAGTATGTAGCAGAACTTGCTTTTAGAAACTATACTCAAACAAGAAAAAGGGTTATTCACTTTATACCATGGCTCTGTCTAGTTCCTTTCTGTATTGCTAACTCCAAGCATAGAGTGGAAGGCCAGAGCTTAGCAACGTTTCTCTTTGGTTGTCTATTCCCAATTGGAAAAGACAAAAACTACAACAAAAGTCCAGCTCACTGATTCACAGTCCAGTGCTTTAACAGTGAGATGAGCATTTTTCAGTGTGGTTTGGGAGGCTTATGTTTAGGATTTTAGAGGGATGGCAGGGGAATTAGTCAATTGACTGTCTCATTCATTCATTCATTCAGCATTTCTTGGGCACTTACTATTGATTTCATTCATTCGTTCATTCAGTCATTCATTCAGCATTTCTCGGGCATTTACTACTACGAGGATCTATAGTTATAGTAACTGTATCAATTCCCTACTTGGAAAATCACAGGGTTTGAAGTGAAAACAAAGGATGGCCCCCTGCCCCACCAGAGTGGTCAAATATGAATATGGGAACTGAAGTTCAAATAGCCGTCCAAAAGAACTACCCACGAGGAGTCAGATAGGCTTGGTGATCCCAAGTAACTTCCCATGGCTTCATCATGGTATGCACATGCCCACAACATGCTGATAAGTGGCCCACAAGGTGCTAACAGGCTATAGGGTCTTGCAGATCAGAAGGGACCTGGCATCCACTTGCTTCTCATTGGGATGGCAGCCCTTAAAGGCCAGAGGCATGTTCTCCCACCCACACCCTGCACAGTCTGTGCCACCCTTTAGCCTTTCTTTTCCTTTTGTGCTATCCCCTAGCTATGTCTTCGATCTTTTCTGCTATTTCTAGTAGACCCCTCTATATAGGGTCTCATATCTGAGTTGAGAACCAGATTTCATGGGAAAGAAAGGCAGTAGGAGCCTCTTGCCTGGCAAGGCAGACATAACTAGGTTAGGTGAGAACAGGGAGGTTGGGCCTGACAAGCTGTCAATGCCAGGAAAAAACCTAGCCCAGAACGCAGAACACTATGTTCCAAGAGAATAATAAAAGGGAAGGTAATCAGAGTACATGATGGGAGCACTGCTGGTCTCATCCAGGTCCAAGGGTGTCCTGCAAAAGAGGCTGAGCACACACATCATTACACTGTCCAGTGTGGCAGGATAGCCACACCAGGAACCTTTGTTGCAGGTTATAGTGCAGGGCTGTTCTACTCAGGTTCAGGCATCTGACTCAGTCCAGAGGGAATGGGGTTTGGCAGCAATATCACGGGGTTACAGGTTAGGAAATGCTTCGCTACATAACAGGTTACCTATGCTGGGTCTCGCCTGGAGAAGCAAGACAGGATTCATATACCAGAGCCTGAGATTTGGGGGAGGTGGCAGACAACCAAGTTATCAGACACAGGGCACAGGCTAGGGCATAAAGCCTGTGTGGATGCCAGGAGCCAAGGCCCAGGGCTCCAGGCCCCCTATTCCTGCTGTGGTGAGAGGGGCCCATGAGTCCAGGCAGAGGACTTGAGTGGGAGCCAGGTCCCAGGACATGTACTTCACAGACAAATAGGCTGGAGGGCCTCCCCCTTCTCCAGAAGCGTTACTGACTTCACATATGACCTGTTATCACCCTGCAGAGAAGTTACATGATACACATGGACATTCTGTTTCCTGGAAGTTTAAGATGAGAGACTTAGAGCAGTCTCCAATGGCAACTGACCGATGCCCCAGTTCCCTAATGTCGGTAAGTACATGAAATATTTATTAAAGTTTTTTTTTTTCATTTCATGGTCTTCTTTCCTCAAACATTCTCTTACAACCATTTTGTGAACTGCAAAGGAAAGCAGTTTTTAGAAAGATGAACTTCAAGTCAAGGGATCAGAGCACAGGTGGGTGACATGAGGTTAACTGGTTTCTTAACCTCTCTGGGCTTCACTGAGAATGTGAATACCAGATATGTTACTGCCACCAAACGGGAGCATCCAAGACCACCTAGTGAAGGCATATCAAAGTGTAATGAGCCCACAGCTGCAGTCAAACATACCTGAGACCAAGCACTGGCTGGGACACCTTAAGAAATACAACCTTTCTAAACTCATCCATAATATCTTTAAAATGGAGCAAATAATATTTATCTTTTAGTGTTTGTGTTACTTTTCTTTCATTGCTGAGACAAATACCCGATACCCAAAGTTAAAAGGTAAGAATGGGGAAAAAATGAGAACCAAGATGCATTATGTAAAGGTACAATTCCCAGTGAGAAATGTAATTGTGTTGTATACCTACAATGTACCAATAAAAGAATTTAACAACAACAACAACAACAACAACAAAAACAAAGTTAAAAGGTAAGGGGTTTATTTGGGTTACAGTTCATAGAGGTTTCAGTCCATAATCAGTTGGCTCCAAGGATGGGATGGCAAACAAGCCTTGCAGAAGAGAAACAACATGGCACGTACAAGGCAGCAAAGGCAACAAGAGGGTTTAACGGCATCTTTCTGTCCCTTTTATCTTATTCAGACAAGTGGGATTAGAGCAGGGGCAAACTAAGCACTCACATGCAGTGGTTTAGTAATGACATACCCTTAAACCTAGCATCACACATTCCAGATTCAACTACCTCTGAAAAAGAAAGTCCCATCTCAACTGCAAGAGGCTTTGAGGGGACATCTAAACACAAACCATAACAGTGTTCTTGTGAGTAATAAATAAAATTTGAAAAAAATAATGGCTAGTGTCTAGCAAATGGTACTCAGTAAATGGTAGCAATGAGGTAAAACTAACATAATTATATTATAACCTTATATAAATATAATATTACCATTGAATAAACATAAAAGATAATAGTGATGATAATGAAATGCTTCATTTGACAAACATTTGAGTGTCTACTGAATATTGGAAATTTTGCTAGGTGCTTTGCAGGCAAAGATGTATATATGACTTCCTTCTTCATGAATGGGATAGTCCATGATTAAAAACAACTTAATAGAAAATAACAACATGGTGTGACACTTGCTGTGAAACATTAAAATAAGAGTGCTATGGAAACACAGAGAAGGGGGACAGCTAAACCAGCCTGGGAGACGGGGTATTATAAGGTTTGAATTATGCTTCCCACAAAGAGATGTTAAAGTCCTAAGTGAATATAACCAGTGAATATGACCTTATTTGGAAATAGGGTCTTTGTTGATGTGATCATGTCAAGGTGAAGTTGCACTAGATTAGAGAGGGCCCTAACTAATATGACTTCTGTCCTTACAAGAAGGGAACAGACAGAGAGACACATCAGGAGAGTGCCACGAGGACAGAGGCAGTGATTGCAGATACATAGTGCAGAGTTCAGGATTACCAAGGAGAGCCAGCAGACTCCAGAAGCTAAGGGAAAGCATGTGATGGATTCTTCCCTACATACTGCAGAAAGAACCTGGCTCTGCAGACAAACCAATGTCAGGCCTCTGGCCTTGAGAACACTGAGAAAATACATTTCTGTTATTTTAAGATATCTGGTTTGTTATGGCAGACCAGCCCTAGAAAACCAATTCAGGGGGATAGTGTCAGGGAAGGGATCCCGGAGAGGGCAAAAGTTGACCTGCTTCTTTAAAAGGATGATTTCTGTATAGGCAGTGGGTCTGTTAAAAAAATATTCAAACCCAATCCCTTGGAGGCAGAATTGCTCTTAGGTCTTCTCTTTGTGAAAAAAACAAACCCTGAAAATTGCTACATATTTATTGAGAATAAATCAACTACATAGATTATTTGTTAACATAATAGTGTACTTTATAAGATAAGTGAATACCTACAAGCAGGATCTTTAAGAAAGCGAAATTGAAAATGTGTTTATGATCTTTCCAAAGAGATCCAAGGCAGAGAGGTATGTTTCCCATTTAAATCCAAGATGTGCATCCAGAGTGCGTTCCTGGAGCCCTGCCATGCCCATTTTATAAACACAGACCTCATTCCATCAATAAAAGACTCTGTCTCCTTGACTGGGGTGCAACACTAGCAGCAAGGAGGAGTGCAGCTGTCAACAGCTATTTTAAGCACTGTTGACTTGGGTGAGGAGATTTGTGTCTGTGTTTGAAAATATGACATGTCTTGAAGTGAAAACCATTTCAAAACTTCTGCCCAAAACTGGCACAGAGAAGAAGTGGCTGCTCAAAGAACTCTGTCAGATATTTCCAGTAACATACAAGAGGAGGGAGCCTGCATTCAACAAACCAAATGTCTGGAGCATGTAGGAGGTAAGGGGCCATGAAAGGCCCTGTGAATTCACTCATGCAGGGCCAAGTAACTGAAAGGCAATGCCTGGTCCCTTTCAGTACAGACCCACCCAGCACCAGCTGCTTCATGCTTCTTGGCCCTGCTGGAGCACAATCCTCAGACACAGGGGCCCTCACAACAGAGGATGAGAAACCACACCAGCACATGTGTTCAGGTGTGGAGGAATCTCTTTGAAGAGATGGACACTGGACCTAAGTATGGAATATGAACTCTCAGAGATGAAAGAGACATGGCCCTTATTTGTCCTATCCTAGGGATTTAGAGATAAGAAAATCAAATTGATACCTGGAGACATAAAGTGACTGTGCCAAAGTCACCTAGGTAGTCAAGAGTGGGTTTGGAATGAGAGTGGAGGGCCCTCTGCTGCTTCCTGTGCATTTGAGTTCTTCAGTGTCTCTCTGGCCCACCAGCCTTTTGGCAAGTTCCAGTGACAGGCATTCACTGTTTCCTCACACAGCCCATTCCATTTCCTACTGGAGTTTCTCAGTAAGAAATGCAACCTCATACTTGGGTTCAGGAACTGGTAACCTGCAGTGAAACCCACTGTCCTTATTCCTCACTCCTGGCATACTGAGACAGGGCTCATTCTCTTTCCCATCATTCACATTCATGAAGAAAGCCCACAGAATACCTAGATCCTCTCTTGTTCAGCCTCAGTACTCTGTTCCCTCCATCCTGCCACATGTGACTGTCCTTCTGTAAACCCCACCTTTCAGAACTCCAGGGTTATCCCTATACAGAGGCCAGGAAGAAGGTGGCTAACCACTTAGCAGGGTCTCTCCCCTTCTTAATTCTGAGCTTTCCCTGACTCCTAAGTGGGCATATTGCCATTAAAAAGTGACACTCCTATTTGATGCTTGTTTTGGGTAGGGCCTGCATGGAAGGCTTCCTCATGTCTTCCAATCATGTGATTCTCTGGGCAGTCCCATCAGCGCCAACACATGCTAAGTGGCCTCATTTAATCAAAACACACTTTTCTTGCCCCTCTGTGGAAAGATGCCCTTATGCATCTTGGCAGTGGGCATTTTGAACTCAAATGAAGAATTCATCTAATTTTTCATCTAATTTTCCAAATCTGTCTTCTTAGGTTCTCCTGTCTATAATTTTCCCTCTTGTCCTTAATATTTGTAAAAGAGCTAGACAATTCCCTCTTAAAGTTCCTTTCCCTTCTCATTCATCAACAAACTTCTCCTTGCTGGTCAGATTTAGCTGTAGAGGCAGGGAAGATCAGCTCATGCTCAGGAGGGGAAATATTAGCTGCTTTTCTCACAAATGCTTGGGAGGCCTGAGGTTCAGGCTTGGTACCTGGAACATTCCCCATCCACTTCTCCCTGGCCAGGTAGTTCTTTGCTTTCACCAAATATTTATTATTTCTACTCTTTCCCCTCTTTACCTTTACCCCAAATGCTCTCCATGGCCCCTGCTTGCTCAGATTGGTGCATGCCTTTATAACATACCTTCTTAAAGAAATCTACTCTGTCTACCTGGTTGCATTTATTTCTTTTGAATCCTGTTGATTTCTAGTTTGAAGACCATTCCCAGGTCTCATGGATGCACGTAGGTTACTCTTAACTCCTTGTGTCGAAATCTCGAGTGCATTCAGTTATTGCTAAGGCTTACTGGAGCTCTCTCCTTGTTTCTATGCCTTGTCTGATGAAGTCCATGACAAACTATTCCCAGGATCCTGGGCATCTCTCTTACTCCATCCCTGCTAAACACTTGTGAGCAGGTTACACACCTGCAGGTCTGGCTTATTTCCTTTAAGGTCATCACCCTCCATCTCAGTTCCTAGTTTAAAATCTCTGTAGGTAACCACAGCCCATCATGTCCTAAACATTTAGATCCACCTTTAAAAGAACTCCTATATCATATTGTTTGTTCCTATTGCTGATTTAAGTTATTAGCTCTCATGTGAAATCCTGCAAAGGCCTCTTTTTGTTCCCCCCAAACACAGATTCTGTATCTTCTTCCCCACCTCATTTTTCTTCCCTCCCTCTCCTGGTCTTCCTTCCTCAACTCCCTTCCCCCACACCCTTCTCACACTCCTCAACCTGGGAGCAGCCAGCAATGCCCATGGGAAACTCACAAGAATAGACCCTAACTGGGGCCTCTAAATTACTTCTTTCAAACTTCTTTTCGCATCCCTTTCTCATTAGCTGATGATTAACTTTCTCTCTGTATGATGTTATGTGACTTTGTACAGCAGGGTAGTTACATAATGATGGGGGGGGGGAAGGGTTGAATAGGCTTAGTTCTGTGTGCAAACTGACAAGCTCATGGTACTAGAGAAGACGGTAGAGGTGAAAAACTGTTGAATCTTGAGATGTACATTTGAATACTCAGTCAAGCACCTAAGAAGTACTTTTTAATTTTTACACATCTATTTATAACTCATCTATCCTTCTAAGGAGTTGAGACACTTCAAGTACATACTGAAAGACTAATATATGCCAACATAGTCCTATCTGGTGTTCAATGTCTCTTTCCTTTACATAACTCTTCCCTTTCTTTGAAATCAGGCTAATAGCCTGGTGACTTCACAGTGACACAAAGCCCCGCATAGTCAGTTGGTCATGACAGCAGAGATGGTATTTCACAGAATATAAGTGTCTTTATAGGGATCTTCCCATTGATCCCAGATTGTTTCCAAGGCAATGTGCAGGGGGTAAGCTTTTGATTTTATTTGTCAACCTCAATTCTAGTTTACAAAAGCAGCTGACAGATAACATCTCACAAATTTAAAAAAAGAATAAAGAAATACTTATTCAATATTTAACTTCAAAGAAAAAATTTACATCAAAGTATTTTAAACAATTTATATAGATTTCAATTTATACTTACTGTTAGAACAGGTTGAAACAACACAGAATTGGCCTCTTTAAATAAACTCAGCATATAGCTGTGGACTTGGACTGAAAAGAAAGCCTGTTTTAAATGTAAATATATCAAAAGGGCTCCTCAGGGAAACTGAAAATCATGTGTGGACTAATCTCATGTTAATTTAATTTTACTACTGGACTGTGGGTAAGGAGAACTGGGTGACTTAATGGTCACCTTATCTCAGGACCCAACATCATCCTGGGCACACAGTCTGACTTTCAATAATTCTGTTAATGAAAGAAATGATAAAATTTACAAAATGTAGAATTTATACTAAAGGGGCAAGAGAAAGTAATATTTGGTTGCTCAATCCATAATGTCACTACCTAAATTCAGGTATATCTAGGCAAATAATATATGATAGTCTTTACATTTACCTTATTAATTGATAAAGAGAGCCATGTGGGTTTTTGTTAGTTATTCCTTTTATGATTGTTACTCCACTTTAGAGATAATGAGACTATATAAGAGGTATGAGGAGAGAGGGTGCCCTCAGAACCAGGGAACACACAGGCAGAACTGGTTGTCAAGCACTCGTGAGTATGGCACCTCTGAGTCATCCCTCTTGTTCACCCTCCCACTATCATGGTACCTTAGGGGAATGAGGCAGAGGGGCAGGACAGTAAGTCTAGTCTCACTGAAATCCATACTAGGTGACCTAATGTCAGTTAGTGCGTAAAAAGTTCAGGACAGGACAACTCATTGCATGCCACAGGGAATACCATAGTACAGTAGCCAAAGTAACATGCAACCCAACCAAAACGAGTTAGAAAAAAAGCTTTGCTCCTCCTCTATTATCTTAAAATGGAAACATAAGCTATATGCAATAAACATAATCTACAATTCTATACTACGATAAATTAAATGAAAAATAAAGATGGAGAAAGTAAAGTATACATTCTGACTAGAAATTAGGAAGGGGGAAGAAAAAGAGTTGAGGATGGAAAGAAAAGAGAAATCAATCGGATAGAAAAGCAGCTTAGACAGGTGGAAAACAGCCGAAGTTCCAAGGTCAACAGTACAATCCTGCTCTTGCCTAATTAAGCAGCCTCTGTGCCTCAGTGTACCTCAGTTCTCAGTCTCCAAGAAAGAGGAATAAAGGGAATATTTACACTGGCATGAGTGTCCTAGGATTAAATGAGTTAAAATACGCAATGAGCTTCAAAGCATGGCTCACACACAGTGAGAACTCAGTACATATCAGCTATCACTCTGATGATGAACATTATACATACATATATATGGGCAAGTGCACATATGCGTGTGTGCATGTGTGTGTGCTGTATTGTATGTGTGCACAAAACTGCTTTAGTGTCTTTTAAGAAATATATCCCAATGCATTATGTAAAGGTACAATTCCCAATGGGAAATGTAATTGTGTAGTATACCTACAATGTACCAACAAAAGAATTTAATACAAAAAAAAAAAAAAAAGAAATATATCCCATACAGGTACAAGCACTCAATGATAAATGTAAACATGTTGTATACCCAAAATGTACCAATAAAAGAATTTAAGGAAAAAAAAAAAAGAAATATATCCCAATTCTCCACTGCTTTTTACACCATGTTTTACAGTACTATGTATCCTAACTTTAAGAAAGTACTATACAGGGCCGGGGATTTAGCTCAGTGGTTTCACCACCTGCTGTGCAAGTGCAAGGACCTGAGTTCGATCCCTGGTACCAAAAAAAGAAAGAAAGTATTATACATAGGTGGAAATCAGAGGGTCTTCTAGGAAGCAGTATCATACAGTTTCCCCAAAGGAGAAATTTCTCCAAGGATTTAGTATTAGAAAACTTCACCACCACCACCACCCCCCCAGAACACAAGGCGTTTTTCTATAACTAGAAATGAGAACTGCAGAACTCGGTGCTATTTCCTCTCTGCTCTTTTTTTCTGCCAGAAAGATGAGATGTTACACCCAAACACTCCAGAGGTGCTCATTTCTATGTCTGGCATATCTTCCTTCCCCTTAAACCTAGTTTTCCTTTGTAATCCTATTTTATCCATCTAAATGAATATGCCTAGGTTACCTGCACATGTGGACATGCGCACACCTTTTTAACAAATTAAAATCTAATGGCACCAGACTTTGAAAATACTTCATGTCATCTGAGGGCCTAGACAGACTTAATATTTACATGATGTACATTATAGCTTAGAAGGCACCAATGACAACCCATATTCTCCTATACCCTATCATTTCTGGCAAAATCCTGTGTAATCCTAGTGGCTAATTTTTCAGAGAAGCAAACTAATATGGAATAATTTAATTAACACATTGCCATTGGAAACTAATTTAGCCTTTTGGGCCGAGAGTGGTGTGCTTTGAGCATTTCTTAATAATTTGTTTAACAGTGCTTCCTTCCATAGCATCCATCTCTCAACGCCAGCAACTCAGAGAACTAATTTCCTGCATGGAAGACAATCCCTAAAGATTTTTTTCTTAAAGATTTCAAGGTTAATAACAGAGATGATCACCCAGATTTTCATTTTAAATCACTCATTTTCTGCCCAGTTGTGAATTCAAAGAATGTTTTTGTTTTTCATTTAGGCGTCTTCATCTCATTCTCATTTTCAGAAGATCCAAATTTGAATTATTCCTTAACCTTTATGCAATGCAGTACTATATTTTCAAAACCCTTTTCCAGTCATTTAATAAGCTGGTCTCATTACATCTCTGTTAGAGTTTTACCTCTCTACAGATTCAAAAGGAAATGACGGTTTGGAAGACTGAAAACATTTGCCTTCAGCATCCTGGAACCATACAAGAAGCAGAATTTGGTCCACACTGTCTTTGCCACAGTGAGAGTTTCCTTGGCTGTGGCCTTCAGGGAGGCAGGAGGCAAAAAGCAGAGTGGAGAAAGTGGGACATACAGCACAGGGGTACACCTAAGGCTTCTTATCTCAAAAAACCTGAAACCTACCCTGTCCACTTGACAGCATTTTTTACAAGCATCAGACTTATGATGGACATTTATGTGCTAGCAATTTACAAACAACTAATCAATACACAAATGTAAATTATAGTTAGGATTTTTTTTTCTATTTCAGCTGCCTCTAGGGTCCCACAGTAGTGCTAAGTGCCTGTCTTGAGCAGAAAGAGAATTCGATATATTATTCACTATATTACTGTGCTTTTAAAGACTATGCAGAAGGATAACAGGTGAGAGAGGGAGGGTGTGTGTGTGTGTGTGTGTGTGTGTTATTCATTCTTCTCACAATTCCCAGCAGAGCTGTGCCATTCTCCATGTTAGGCTTCACCAGTAAGTTTTGCAACTGAAAAAAAGTAAGGGGCAGTTTTCTTTATTTACCTGGTTTCCTCTGAGATGTTTGTTCATTAAACATTTCTTAGTCACCTGCACGATTGTGAGGCAAATACATTAGATGCTGGGCACAGAGGCAAGTCAGGGCTTCTGGCCTAAGGTGCCCACTACGACACAGACACAGTCACAGAGCCACACTGGGAAAGGACAGTGTAATTAGGGAGGCAAACCCAGGTCCCATGCCACTGTCCAGAAAAGAGCCTGATCGCACTCTGAATTACAAGTGGCTGTCCTCAGTGAAAGCATCTATCTTGCTAAGCCACTGTCTCCCCAAATCCAAATACAGCACACCCAAGTCAAAGAGCAGCAGCAGCCCTTTGGGTTGAAGCCATACTTTTAAAACAGCCCTTCTCACTGCTTTTATCAAATAACTTTGGGGTCAGAGGGCTGTTGAATGCTTTGTTATGTATCTTTATCTGTATTCTTACTTACCTTTCTCCTTTTCTTAACACAGGGGCATTCTGGATCAGCAGGCCTCCTTCAGGCTGAGCTTACATCAGACATGCTCCTGGTGTGGAGGGCTGAGGTTATAAAGGGTAGATTTGTTGTAAAGACAGAGAACAAGGGCTAGCTAATCTATATCTGCTTGTTGCAACTGAGTGGGGAATTTCCATTTGGCAGAAAGGCCAGAATAGAAATGTTAGCTTGGGCATTCATACCCATATTCAATTATGTTTTCTTGACTGTACCAAAAACAGATCTTCATGTTTTTTATCAAATACATTTGATCAGTCAAAAGAATTTGAAAATCCTATCACGAGTATTTAACTTCTTTCTGTCACAAAATGATGGGCCAGAGGCACAAGGGAAGTGAATCATTTCAGCAAGTTTTTGTTAAATAAAGCTAAGTTAAACTAAAATGAAACAGAATAAACTAGGAAGATGGATCAAGTATGCATTGGGGGATTTATCCATGGCATTCCCTGTTCTGTATCTTTCTCCTGTGACACACGTATTATTCACTGTCACCAGTAGGCACTTGTGTCCAGGTGGGCTGGGTGCTAGGACACAAGGTAAAGACAAGTGTTTGGGCTTCCTGTGTTGAGAAAGGCAGAAACTTTCAGCAAAAATTTAAAAAGTACCTTAATTTATTGAAAAATATTTTAAAATGAAACAGAAGAGCTGACATTACACCCAGACTAACACAGTGGCCATGGATTATGAGAAGAAAGTTCTATGTCTAATCTCAGAGTTTGGTGCCAGAGAAATCAAATAAATCCACAAGGATTCCCTCACACAGTGCTCCTGCCACTGCCTGTCTCCTGGTGGGGTCAGGCCAACCCTGTACTGCTATTACCCTCAGAGGCAGAGAGGTGGGAATTGGGAGCATCCAGTTCAGCCACTGCTGTCTAACTGAATTCCATACCTGCTGTGCAGGCTTTGTGTCTGGCCTCTCCTGTGTCCTTGGATGCCAGCTCCCTCCTGGACAGACTTCATATCACCTCACCAGAAGACCAGCTCTGCCCAGGCTTACTGCCCACGTTTCCCTCCCTCCTTATTGCACACATGTGATCCTTTTGGATGTTTTTCCTACTAACCTCATTCTTGGGTATGGTTCTTTCTCTCTTTTGGGTGAACTACCCTCTGAGAAAAAATGTGCCATCAGCAGACCACTGTGGCTGGCCCTGAGCACTCCAGATGGACCACGGAGGAAGGTACAGAGGGACAGTGTAGTCATTTCTACTGAAGATTCTACATGTGCCAGGCACTTGCATATATCTTCCCTTCCCTAACCTTCATGGTGGTGATACCTGGAGATTACAGAATGGAGAAAACTCAAGTCAATTGCCAGTTAGAAGTGGTAGAGTTAGAACTCAAATCTAGGTCAGTCCTACTGCAGAGCCTTTTGGTCCCACCAGGGCTGTCAATAACAAAACCCAAAACTGGGTGGATTATGAGGTTTGGCCTCTACACAGGACAGAGCTGATCCTCAACTGGAAAACACCAGTGTGGTCATATCACTGTTTTAGGCCAGCATCTGTTCTGTTTGGTCAGTGCCCAAGACCTATCAGTTGTTAAATATTTGGGTATCATTGTTGCCCTTATCAAAATGAAATATGTGGCAAATATTTGATTTTTACTTCTGGCAAAGAGAAAGTAAGTGTGACAGGATATGTACTTCCACCTGAAATAACTAAAGAGCCAGATAAAATACATGAAATATGTTTTTCAGATACTGGACACCAGCCAGTGCAAGATAATCATTCCTGAGAGGAGGGAAACTAACAAAGGGAGCCCTATAATTGCCCCAGCTTACTGCCAGGAGCATTTCCTGGCTATTGAACAAGGAGAAGGAACTCTGGAAAAGCTGACATAGCTAGTAGACTAGGAAGGTCAAGGGAACCAGAATTCACTGGGCATGGTGTCCCAGAGAAGAAAAGTACGTGCCTTCCCCGTACACACGTGAGACCTAAAGTGGGCCCACCCTAAGTCTTGAGACCTGATGAGTAGACATATGAGAGGAAACTACACAAGGCTGGAGAAAGAACCATGCAAAAGGATTAGTAAGAACAATTCAGAGATCCTAAAAAAGCTGGGAGGAGTTTCTGTTTGCCCAGGAGAGAAAAGTCTCATAATACATGTGGTATCCAGTAGACTATTTAGAGTGGTATTGCCTAAATTGTAGGGGAAAATTAGGCAGCTGATCTTTTATAACAGAGCTTCAAAGCAAGCCTCAAAAAGAAATGTAACATGTCACAGAATAGACCTGAGGGATACTGATAGGGATACAAAAATATCCAACATCTAACAAGATGAAATTCACAATGCCTGGTAACCAATGAAAAATTACCAGGCTAATTCCCGCACCTTTGAATATCTCATTTTATATGTCAAAGAGAATTAAGCTGCAGACAGCATGAAGACTGATAATCATCTGACTTGATAGATTATTTGGATCCTTCCAGGGAACCAATTAACTCACAAGAAGAGAATCTTTCAGTGATAAGATGTAAGAAAGATTCAAATCAACACTGGTGCTTTGAAGATGGAAGGGCCATAAGCCAAGGAACACAGCAAACTTCAGAAGGTGTAAAGGCAAAGAAACAGCGCTTCCCCTGGAGCCTCCAAAAAGGGACATTGTCTTGTTAATTCTTTGATATTACCCAGTGAGATCTGCATAGGCTTCTAAGCAACAGAGCTATAAGATCATAAATCTGGGTTGTTTTAAGCCACTGAGTGGTTATTTTATAGCAACAGTAAAACAAACAAAAAGTAGAAAAATGTACCCATAATAAAGAAACAGATCAATCAAAATGAAAATGTAAATACCACAGGTGATAGAATTAGTAAACAAGTATGTTAAATTCTGTTCCATATGCTTATGAAGGTAGAAGACTGAATACGCTAGAGAAATGAAAGATAAAAAAATTCAAAGCAAACTTGTAGAGATGAGAAGAATAGTGTATGAGATTAAAATACATTGCATGAAATTAAATACAGATAAGACATTTTATTTAAAAATTACTGAACTTTAAGAACAGTAATAGAAACTATCCAGGGATGGGGATTTAGCTCAGTGGTTTCGCTGCCTGCTGTGCAAGCACAAGGACCCGAGTTCGATCCCCTGTACCAAACAAAAAAAAAAAATAGAAACTATCCAGAATGAAACAGAGGAGGAAAAACAATAATAACAACAAAAGGGAAAGAGCATGAAAGCTCTGTGAGACAACTTCAAGCAGCCTAATATATTTGTGGTTAAATTCGCTGAAGGTGGGTAGAGCCAGAAAAATATGTGAAGAAATAACAGTGAAGATTATTCAAATTTGATAGAAACTATAAACTCATGAGAAGCTAAAAATTACATAGAACAAGAAATATAATTAAAAGTACATGAAGGTGGAGCTGGGGATTTAGCTCAGTGGTTCTGCCGCCTGCCTCACAAGCGCAAGGTCCCGAGTTCAATCCCCATACCAAAAAAAAAAAAAAAAGGCACATCATAACAAAATTATTTAAAGCGAGTAAGACAAATTTGTAAAACTATCCTGAGAGAAAAAGGTGCATTACATACAGGGGAAAAAAGATAAAAATGAGATCATATTTCTTTTTGGAAACAATGTAAGCCAGAAGACATTGGAGTAGCATTTTTTTTTTTTTTTGGTACCTGGGATCGAACTTGGGACCTTGTGCTTTTGAGGCAGGCATTGGAACCACTGAGCTAAATCCCCAGCTCCGGAGTAGCATATTTTTAAAGAATTGAAAGAAGAATAATCTCCAAAACTAGGTTCTATACCCAGTGAAAATACTTTCAAAAATGAAAGTGACAGACGTTTTCATACCTAATAATCTGAAAAAATACATCACCAGCAGATCTACATTATGAAAAATATTAAAAAGGAAGTACTTGGGCTGGTGATTGAGTTCAGTGGTTCTGCCACCTGTCTCACAAGAGCAAGGTCCCGAGTTCGATCCCTGTACAAAAAAAAGGAAGTACTTTAGGCTGAATTGATATGAGATTTAAACCTTGACTCATGCAAAGGAATGAAGAGCATCAGAAATAGTAAATATGTAGTTTAGTGTAAAAGATTTTATGGTTATTTAAAAAAATTAAAAGATGACAGAAAAAGAAAAAAATGATTTATTTTGTGATTATAAAACATGCAGAAGTAGAACATACAATAGAAAATAACATATAGGATATGAGTATGGCTCATGCATTATACAGAGAGGAAATAAAAGGTAATAAAAAGATACTCAATCCAAAATACCGGAGAAAAATAGAAAAAAAATGGAGTAAGTAATAGAATATACAAATCAATTGGTAAGATTTTTAACCCAATCATATTGATAATCATATTAAAAGTAAATGGTCTAAATATTCCAATTAAAAAGTAGAGATCATCCAAGTAGATTAAAAAATAAGACTGAACTATACGCAGCCTATAAAAAACAGGCTTTAAATATGAATTCATAAATAGGCTAAAAAGAAAAGAACTGAAAAAAATAGCATGCTGACACTAGTCAAAAGAAAACAAAAGCAGGGTGGGAGAGATTAATATCAGTCAAAGTATGTTTCACAACCAAAAATACTTAGATAATTTTTTTTGTAAAACGTAATTTTATAATAATAAAGAAGACAATGCATGAAGGAAACATAATAATCCCAAACACTGATGCATTAAATAACAGAAAAGAGAGACAAACACTGACAATAGGCATAAAGAAGGTAACACTTCAGACCCTATACATAATAACTATAAAGAAATACTGTGAAAAAATTTATGTCTACAAATTTGAAACTTAAAGTGAATTTTTTGAAATATGCAAATTATCAAAGTTCACTAAAAGAGAAATAAATAATTTATATAACCCTGTATCTATTAAGAAAATTGAATCTATAGTTACAATTATCCTCATGGCCAGGGATTTAGCTCAGTGGTTCCAGCGCCTGCCTCGCAAGCACAAGGTCCTGAGTTTGATCCCTGGTACCAAAAAAAAAGAAAACAAAAACAATTATCCTCATAGGGAAATTCTAAGCCCAGATGACTACACTAAGAAATTCTCCCTAATAGAAATTAAATACTAAAGGAAAAAATAAAAACTAATACTATACAAACTTTTCAAGAAATTTGAAAAAAGGAAAATAATTTCCAATTGTTTTATGATT